CGTGACACGATGCACGATGCACGCGGTTCTTCGAATTTTAACCTGGCACGTTAAAACCTGAAGATCTTGAGACCTTAACGAGCCGTTTAATCCCTGGTATTGCCTGTTGGCAAATTGCGTAGCTAGTACGTCTGCTACAGGTATGTCTAGTGCTAATTCCCAGTACCGATATCGGTTTTCCAATTGCGTTGCGCCGAGTTAATACACCAGATCCTTATCTAATTCTGTTTGAAGGACTTTCAGCATCGTTACGGCGATTTAATCTCAAGTAAAGTAACCGAACTTGATGACACTAGCGATGAACTTTCGAGATAGCGTTTAAGGTTTTCTCATTTCTCATCGATGGAGTTTAAGATTTTAAGCATTAAGATTTTTAGCATGCATTTTGAAAACAAACGTTGGGGGAGAAAGTTGGTCGAAAATTTCCCATTTTATTCTCATTATTTCCCATATTATACGGTTTTAACGAATATGATTTAAACGAATTTTTAAAAATTAAAAATAATAACGCACAGATAATTGTAGATAAGATTCGAAAAGAAGGAGCGACAAGAGGAGGAAGGGCATGCGACGTTTCTTCTTGGTGGATCTTCTCTGTGGGTGAAGTGATTCATCTAGGGTGAATGGTGCCGGACCAGGGAATGACACGAGTGTTCACAAGCTGCACCACCCCTTGTACCAAGCCCACTCCTGGTCCCTCGAAACTCGAGCACGAGTGTTCTATCATTTCTTTGCTATCTCTCCTTTATTATATCCTTTCTATACTATATCCTTATCTATAGCCAAATTGCAGCAAGTGTTTTTTCAAGTTTTATAATATATATATATTTCATTTATTTCTCTTAATTTATAAACTCTATATTATTCATTTTGTTAATCATCAAGCTTGCCATTTTTGAATATATTTCTTTTGAAAGAAGAAAAGGTATAAAAAAAAAAAAGAAAAAAAAAATAACGTGAAAAATAATCATAGAAAACAATCATCTCTTGCTTTATCTCTTGGATAAATTTCATAAGTTGCACCATCCTTTGAACCAAGCCCATTCCTGGTTCCTCGAAACTCAAGTATGAGTATTCTATCATTCTTTATTATATCTATACCAAAATTGCAGCAAGTGTTTTTTTAAGTTTTATATATAAATATAATATATTTTGTTTACCTCTCCAATTTATAAACTCTATATTATACATTTTATTAATCGCCAAGTTTGCCATTCTTACATATATTTCTTTTAAAAGAAGAAAAGATATAAAAAAAAAAAAAAAATAATGTGAAAAATAATCATAGAAAACAATCATCTCTTGCTTCATTTCTTGGATAAATTTCACAAGCTGCACCATCCTTTGAACCAAGCCCACTCCTGGTTCCTCGAAACTCGAGCATAAGTATTCTATTATTCTTTACTATCTTTCCTTTACTATATCTATACCAAAATTGCAGCAAGTGTTTTTTCGACTTTTATATATAAATATAATATATTTCGTTTACCTCTCCAATTTATAAACTCTATATTATTCATTTTGTTAATTACCATTCTTACGTAAATATATTTCTTTCGAAAGAAGGAAAGATATATAAAAAAAAAAAAAAAAAATAACGTGAAAAATAAATCGTAGAGAACAATTGTCTAGTCCTTGCTCGTCTCTTGCTTCATCTCTTGGATAAATTTTAGTTTTCCTTTACGCTCCGATTTGGGGGTGAGGTCCCACCCTCTCGTTGTCTCTTTCTAAAATCAGGGTGCATTGAAAGAACCGCGAGGCAGGCAGCTAGCAAGTGTTCCTCCGTGACCAATGGGCCCTTGCACGCATGTGCGCGCTTCCCAATGCGATATTAATATCGCGATTATCATCTACGTATTATCGCCCGCACCCCTCTCCGATGCTCAAAATAAGCCTGCAAGGAACACCCTGTTCGGCTTGTGCGCCCATACTGTTCCCTTTGCTTCGAATAACATCTTGTTCCGATATAAACCGATAATTCTTCGATAAATTCTTCGAACAGAAGAATAGAATTTTCTTTTTCTTCTTAGAAACGTTATCGATGATTCTTTTCCACGCGTTTTTCGTTCTTATAGAAAAAAAATAAACGCTTGTTTTGCCCAATTTTTAACTTGGAAAAACGCCTCTCTGTGTCATCTGATCGTTAAGTGTCGGCAAGTGTTTACGCATAAATTTCAATGGGGAGATTCATACGACAACCTCCCGTTCGTTTTTAGATCTAACTGGGAACACGGAACACCGTGCGCACCCCTTCCGGACACGTAGAGAGACACGTAACAAATCTTATTGTTCGCCGCCCTTTTACGAGATTCTATAACCTAACCACGTTCGATGGTTGCGGGGGGCGAAGGCTGAGTTATGGTTGGCTTTGCGGGGAGGTGATCGTAAAGGTGATTCGTCTCGGTTCTGCAAGTGTCGAAAGTACGAAAGTTCTAATAGTATCTTCCTCATTCGAGACACTGCTCGATCGTATTATCAATATTTCGAGGAGAAATCGAACGTACGATCAATTATTCAGTTGTTATAATGTGTATATAAATGTGTAGCAAGGTGTCGAAGGTATCCGCTTCGATATCTTAAAAGACTTCACGTGACTCGGTCACGTGTCACCGACATATTGCTCGTGTCTCTCTTTCTCACTCTCTCTCTCTCTTAATACCGAGTATTTCTGTAACGCGACACGTGCCGGTCAAATATCCCGTAACACAATTACACAGGATACTTCATACCCTCCTGTTTAACCATTATACGCCATTAGGTATTGTTTACTCGATTTTAAAAGTCAATTCGTCCAACGGACGATCGTAGTCAAATAAGATCGTAAAAATATCCGCAAGGATTGTTCAATTTATTAATACGTGTCAACTCTGCTCGAATTATATTTTTCGAAATGATTTTTTTATTTAAATGAAATAATATAATAACGAATTCATTAATCGAATAATTTTGAATGAGAGTAAACACGCGTGATTTATAAACGATTGTCATCGAACGAAGGATCGATACGCAAAGAATTAATTCGCAAATAACGTGTGGAAAAGCATACGTGTGTTCGAGGCGAACGAAGGTGTTCTTCGCTCGAGGAGGAAAATTGCATAAAAATGCAGGTGGCACGGGTCACATGGTGGAATAACGCAGAATCCCCTATGATCAGGACCCACCGCGGTACTCCCTTCTCGAATCTCCCTAAAAAACACGATTCACTTGGCACACAAGTTTTGTGCATATAATGCACAGCGATCTACACGATCCCCCCCCCCCCTACACTCCGCTTAATTTAATCCAATACAATATGGCCCCCTCCTCACCTTGTCGTTCATGGTTCGGAAAGGGGTGCGCGGTTTAAGAGGGTGGGTGGCTTTTTAAAACTGTGCCGATCCCAATTCACCGTGAAACCTCATCCTATTATTATCGATCTAATCCTGATTGAGCCCGACAGGTTTTTTTTTTACTCTCGCGGTGTACCGACCAATCTTATCTCCTCGTTTCGAGGAGAACATTTTGAACATTCGATCTTTTTTTTTTTTCTTTTAATTCCATCGATTCTCCTGTTTTTCTTTCTCTTTCTTTTTCGAAGAATCAAGAACGAAGATTGTTCGAACGAGAATTGTTCTTATAACGATGTATATGAGGTATTCTTGTGACAAATTTTCATCCCTTTTATTTTCCATCTTTTCACTCGAAAAGCAGGTAAGCAAGGATCCAATTGTAAATTTTGGAAATTGCAAGGAATTGTAGGGGTACAGGTGCTTAGTGGCGCCAGTCATCATTGTCAGACTTATCTTTGCTAGAAATATATTCATAATAACGGACACTTCATTCATTCTTTCAGAATTTCTCCTTTTATTTTTACTATTCCATTATTTATTGTTAAAAGAATTTTTGCATAATTACCTCTACAGTTATTGTAGACTTGATTTTATAATTTCTGTTTCCTTTTTACATTTGAATGAACGTTGTTAAATGTTTTTGCAAATGTTAAAGATTGTTCGTTACAATATATATATATATATATATATATGAAGAGAAAGCAAATTTATCGTTGCATTCGAATTCTTCCCGCATCCCTGTTTAGCTTTGTAATCCGGAATAACAGAGAGGAGGAGAAGTAAAATTACACCCGATCGTTTCAACGACTTTTGTATTTTCGACTTAACGTTTGTCTCTACAGCTGTGTAAAAGATAAAATATATATATATATACGAGCACTACAAATACTTTGTTCTCCCAAATTGTGCGAGAGAAGATAAAAGTTAAACTGTAAAAAAAAAGAGGAGGGAGATGTAAAAAGATATGCACATAGATATTAAACGTTTCGTTTATTTGCATCAATTTGATTTATTTTTTTCGTGAAATTATCAGTTATTAATTATTACAAATCTTTCATGTCTCTCTCTCTCTCTCGCTTAAATTTTTCTTAGCTGCTTGCTTAAATTTTCAATCGTATTTTTCGATCAATTTTCCTTCTTCTCCTTCTTCTTCTTCTTCTTCTTCTTCGCCTTCGATGAATCTGAGCAACGAGATATAAATAGAAACGAAGAGATTAAAACGAATTAACTTATTTTAAAACGAATCGTTAGAAAACGAATGATTAATTTTTAATGAATTTTTGTGTGGTGGTGGTGGTTGATGTTTGCTGTGGGGATCGAAAACGCGGCGGTGGTGACCTGTCACGGGGCGCAACCGGAGGAGATGGATTTGTTTCGCAGCTGTGTACACTGCTTAATGTAGAAGCCACTGGAATAGGGATTGGTTGGGTGCTGGTGAAGGTGTCCCTAAATCCGAAAGCTAACTATGATATGCTCGTTTCTCCTTTTCGAAGATCAACGAGCATCGAAAAGCTTCGGTAAACGAAGCGAAAAAAACGGAAAAAAAAAGAAAAAAATTCACGATGTTGTCGACGAGGCGACGATTTGCTCGTAATCTTGCCTAAGCTTTGATAAAAATCTCTCTTCTCCCTTTTTTTTTTCCCCTTTCAATTTTCAACGTACGAGATCGAATTATTTTGGATGGCGTTTAAACGTCCTGGCCGTCGATGATAAGCGGCTCGTAATTAATGAAATTTGGATCGATCCCTCCGTCTTCCAGAGTATCAATCATCGGTTTTTTCCTAGAGGCGTCGTATTCCTCGCCAAGCTTTTTGTACGTTTCCGCGCGATTCTCCAAAATTTCCCTGATGATCTCTGAAAATTAGGATAAATAATATAAAAAATAATCGTATTGGAAAAATTTCTGAAGGATATTATCGCGGTAACGGTTCGCGAAATTATTATTTATAATCCATATTTGTTCGTTCGCTCGGTTATTCGTTCGTGAATAATCCTTTCTTCTTCTATTCAATTCTCCAAGGATTAGGATTAGATATTTCATTGTTATGGATAACCAGTCTCGAAACATTACAAAGAAGAGTGAAGGAATCGTATCTTTCATCTTCTCGTTATATTGTCACTATCACGCGTCCACTTTTGTGATCAAGAATAATTTAGTAAAAGGATACTTACCCATAAGAACCTCTCTGCTCTCAACCATGTGCCCTATCTCTTTCTTAACCTCCCTCATCAACCAGGGCATGAAACCATCCTCGACATCTGAGAAAAAACGAATACATTACACAGTTTTTCTTGATTTGAATTTAATTCGATTAATTCACATTGAAAAACGAGACATATATGTACATATATATATATATATATAAAGGGAGACATATAACAGTTTTCTTTCGGATTATCGGTAAAAGGGCGTAAATAACGAAAAATTAATAAACCTTTCAGATTAACTAATTCACAAAAAGTAGCAGTGTTCTTGCGTGTTCACGAACCAGCCTTGATCTCGTCCAATAGGAAACCGGACAATTTCAATCCTTCTAGAACAGCTGGAAGAAGTTCGGCTATATATCCTGTTAACAGGGTAGCTGCTGCAATTCGTTCTTCCGTTTCCCTTTGAGCGATCATCGAGTCTTCGTATTGTTTCAATCGTTGATCCTGATATCGAGATATTTCTTTGAATATATTTGGAAAAAAAAAAAAAAAAGAAACTCCAAATTTTTATTCCACTTTTCCTAACCTTCTCTTCCCTCAGCCTTCTCTCCTGCTCCTCCAATCTTCGCGTCTCTGCCTTTTCCATGGCCCTCAATTCCAAGAACTTTCTCTGTTGCTCCTTCAAAGCGGCGATTTCTTCCTCCTCGAGAACCTCCATCAACGCCTGCTCTATCGTTTTACCAACCAGTACCTCCAGTATTGGTTGCACCTCGAAGTCGAAGTCGAATAGCTAGAAAGGAAAAAGAGGAAAAGAGGGAAAAAATATCGTACTCCAACTTCGAATTCTCGAAGAAATTTGCCAAAGAGAGCTTACGTCACCGGGCTCTATTTGGGTAGAGACATCTTCTCCAAGTTTTTCCGGGCAATATTTCGGCGTCAACGGTCTGTCCAAGAAATAATCGGTTTGCGTAGCAACTTCGACCTCGTCCGGTTTCTCGAACAGCTGTAACATGCTTATTATTGTTAATTGATACTATCGAGTTAAAACAAAAGAAAGGAGGGAAAATATTCGAGAAAGGGATGATATATATATATATATATATCCACCTCCTCGAGGTATATTTCCGTTTGCACGGGCTCGTGTTTTCGGCCAGGAACAGGGGGTGGCGAACCAGTCCTAGCCACCAAACTTTTCGTAGCCAGTGCCTGAGCCCGTTTCCTAGCCAAATTTCTCCTTCTGGCCTCCGCTTGCCTGGCAGCTATCGATCGTTCACCATCGATCTGAGACAAAACAAACGATTGTGTCTCCCTATGCGCGCGTATTCTAAACAACGATTTAATTTTGCAACAACTTACAAGAACGGGAGCGGCGGCGAAAGTACTTCCACGAACAACGCGACGATCGAACATAATATTCCCAAAAGGAATTCGTTGATCGCTGTAAAGAAAATATATCATCTTATATATATATATATATATATTTTTATCAAGTATATAAATTGAAAAAAATCTCGAACAAGCGTCGATTAATTATTTATGAGCGTATACATACATATACATATATATATATATAGTATGCACGCAATTGCAGTCGATAATCAATTGCAGTCATATCATTCTTCCGTGTATTTGACATCGAAAAATCGTTTTTTTAAAAAATCCTCCTCGTTCATTAATCGGATTTCCGAAAAAGCGTTGGCAAAACTTACGTCGCGTCGTTCCTCCTCGCGATCTTGGTTCGATCGTCCAAGGTCGTGGAGGCGGCCATGGTCGTGGCGTTCATCATTCCGAGGGTGAAGTCGACAGTGGCCTTGAGGGCAGTCGGGCACCTGGCTATGTGGCTGCTGTGACGAACTTCCGGTTTCCTCGCCAACGACGCGAGCGATTTGAATTTGGAGCGCAAGGGGCAATTGTCGGTTTCCTCGGTGTCGTTCCCGTTCGACGCGATGCCGAGAAGGGCAGCCACTTCCGGCGGCGGCATTAGAAACTCGCCTGTCTTCACGGTCGTGATGAACGGCTTTTTCCGAAGCCCCTGACCTTTTCTCGCCCCCTTGCGCTCCTCCTCTTTCTCCCTCTCCTGCTCCTGAAGCTTCCTCAATTTCGCGTTCAGGACCTCGTTGAAATCCTCCGTGGACAGCGTCATGCTCGGCTTGATGGCAGGTATCTTCTGGTCCACGGCCGATGATGATCGGCAACCGTCTTCGCTCCTGCTTCGCGACTCCCTTCTCAACGGATTCGCTTGATTCGACTGCAGCCTCGACTGGGCCAAATGATCGTTCGATCTGCTGATCCGCCTTCGATGCTCCAACGACGGATTGCTTTCCTCCAGACGATCGGCCGCCGATCTCCTCGTCGTCGTCTCGTCGTCCACGCGAAGAAGAGGCGGGCTCGTAGCCACCGGCTCCAACCCATCCTTTCGAAGAATCGCGAAAGAACTCTTTCCCTCGAGGGCGAACGGATCTCCGTTGGCGGTTGGCGCCAACGCTGAAATCCCAGCCGGCATGATCGCTCTTTTCTTTTTTTCTTCTTCTCAATATTTATCTCAGGCGCGCATTTTCAAACTTCGATGCTGATTTTTTCAATCTTTCGACTGATCTTCCCTCTTCGAAACAGGGGTTGGATCGAAAATGGTGGCAACGCCGAAGAAACTTCGCTTTGGACGACGGTCGCGGTATCACTAAGACGCTCGTGCGAGCGAGTTCACAGACTGGACAATGTCCTTAGAATCGACCGACATATGCCGCAGACGTGCTACACATATATTTTTACTCGGCGGCCACTCAATAACGCTGACCACCGTGAACTTTGCGCATGCCTAAGTCATGTTAAAGGGGCACGAAATCGGTGGTAACTATGACCACGTACGATGCTTATGTACGTCGGCGTGCTCTTTTGCAACAGAATTTGTCCTCAACCTCGCGACCCCTTCTCTGAACCTGTTCAAGGTGAACCGCTTTATCATCGCGTCCGGTTCGAAACCAAGCAAACGCTAAAGCTTTCCCGTTTTCGAGACGGATGCTCTGTTCACCAGTTCAGAATTTAAGCTTCCGCACTTTCCGCCAATGTTTCGCGGGATCGATTCGCGGCGTCGTCGTTCCATTGCAACTCTGTTTTACGACACTGCGAAAGTACTTGACTCTCCCTTGCCGAGAGAAATAGCAATGCTTTTTTTTTCTTTTTTTATTGAAGAAAAATCCTTGCCGCTCGGGGCAAAAAACGCGCGAAACGTCTCTGCGTTTTTTCCTGTCGTGATGAAAATTTAGCGTGCTGCAAAAATTCCATATGTCTTTGAGCGTAAAAGTTGGTTTACCGAGGTTGTTTCTCTTGCATTATGTATAAATCGTGTCGTTAAAAGTTTCTCGCTCGTTCGAAAGCGTGAGGCGATGTTTAAAATTGATTGACAAAACGTAACAGTCGGCTATAATAACGGTGAATATAGATAATCGTGTGGTACGAAGTTTGTAATGGCATAAAGATTTCATAAGTTGATACGCGAACGATGAAGATTGTAGGAGATTGAAAAAAATTTCCACGAGAAGGCAACGTGAAACGAAGTTGAAAAAAATCTATTTAATAAAATGATAGAAAAAGAATTTATTGATCTTGACGCTTGTCCATTGATTTTTCAATTTAATGATTTTCTAACTAATTCTTATGTATATTTTTTTTTGACAATGAAAACTTACGTGGGTGGATTCCTGTATTTCTTTTGAATATGCAAAATTGCTCTTGGACTCTTGACAAACGTATATGTCTCCTTTTTATCGCCATCCCCGACCGGTATTTTGTAGGATTGAACTCCACGATTACACATTCGGCACGTATCCGTTCTTACAGTCGACATCTTTTTCCGTAGTTTTGTTTCAGCAAGTTATTATTGCATTAAAATAGCTTTTTCTTTTTTTGCAAAAAATTCAAATGCCGAGATCTTTAATCTAGATTGATCACAAATTCAGAGTGAATTCAAAGGCAATTTACTTGTGTACAAGCGTTGTCAAGGAAACGTAAGGAGAAAGAGTTTTTCTTCTACACCTAGATATATCGATGTAACTTTTACAAGTACAATAATCGTTTTTTAATTGAGTAGGATAATAAAAGTAAAAGTTAGGATAATTTTTATTTATAAATATAATTTAAATAATAAATAATAAATATAATTTTTAATTTATAAATATTATATTTCTCTACTTGTTTTTTTTTCCTTAAAAAGATTAAAGTTTAAATTTATTTAGGAAAGAAATAAAGATTGTGAAAATATTGATTTATAATTAATTGTGATTCTACTATTCTGTTTACATTTAGTATTAATCATTTTTATATATATATATAATTATATAATTTTAATAATAATTAATAATTATTAATTATATAAATATAAATAACAATTATATATATATAATAATACTAATAATTATAATAAATATATAATTATATATAATTATATAAATATTGATCAAATTTACATTAAAAATTATATTTATTTAATAAAATCTAAAATCTAAAACTATCTTATAATAATATAGTTTAAATTTGAAAATTTAGTCGGCATTATATTTACATTTGCGATGTTTGACTTTGCCTACCGAATTGTTTATCGATCGAGCAAAGGTTAAGTCAGTTTCGCTTCGAACGCCGTACCGACTACACGGATATAATTTCGATTCCATATATAATTCAAAATTGTGTTTCTCATTTAAAAATTTATTCGCTAGTATAAGAATAATAGTTTTTAGTAAATTTCATTCGTGAATATCGATGCATTTTTTTATTATATAAAAAAATTATTGTATCATATATTATCGATCAATGATAACCATATGTTTTTTAACATGAATGATTAATTTTTAACTTTTTAAATATATAACAAATACAATGATTATGATTTTTATATAAAAAGTATTTCGTTTATTTATTATTTATTTCGTAATTTAAAAATTATTCTATTGTATTTCGTATTTGATAATTATAAGTTTCGATTTTAATTTTTATTTTTATTGTTATTTTTCATTTAATTTTCGTTACTATTCTAATTTTAATTTTACATTTTTAATTAATTTTTTAATTGATTCGACATCTCATATTTTTTATATTTCAAATGTTTCAAAATTTGATATATTTTAAAAATTTTATTTTCATATTTTATTAGAATATTCTATTGTTATTTTATTAGAATCGTAAATATGAATTTTAATATCGAAATAAAATCGAAAATTTAACGTTTAAATATATTGTGTCAACCAATTAGAAGCGCCCTAGGAGAATCTGTGGCGCGTGGCATCATTCTTCTGTCGAAAATCATCGCGATAGGATGTATCGCCGATCGAATTTGCGTAACCTCGACTACGCAGTAAGTAATTTTATTCGTATATTATCATCAAATTTATAGATTATTATTAACTTTGTTTATTTAATAATCTGTTAGACGTTGTAACAATAAAGTTACTTTGTGTTTTTGTTTTCGATTATTTATTTGATTGTTGAGGTTACCGGTAACTTGTATTGTCTTTCAATCGAGAATTTCAGTTCAGTTATTACATTTTCACTTACTTTCACTTTTTATATTTTTTTCATTGTTTCTTTATTTATGATTTTTATTTCAGAATTATTTAGAATTTAGTTTAGATTATCGTTTGATTGCCGAAACGTCGAAGAAATATTACGATTTATTATCGATGATTTATCTGTACATCAGCTAACATTTTATTTTTTTCACATAAATAGACGTATTTAGAATAGATTTTTATTGTTTTTATTCATATTAAAACAAATATATAGTATTTAGTTAATCACAATCATATTATTTCGTCGTAAAATTAAATTATTAAACGATGTTACATGTGTTTACGATGTTACGATACATGTTTCTAAATACGTCTTTCTATTTTGTTTTGTTTATATATTTATCTTTCTTTCGTTTATGTTATACTTGAACCATTCGAAACCATTATTTATAATTAATTTTGGAAAATTGTATTTGCGTCGTACCATGCTCGATATATTTCGATTTGTCGAATATTATCGAGATCTGCATATCCTTCTTCTCAATTCGATAATCGAAATCGCGGCGCGAGATGTCATTATAGTTTCGATAATTGTAGTGCTTAGACGTGTCATTTTTCCTGTGCGAAATGTGTAATTTATCTGTGCTCTAGTATATAATTTATTGGTTAATATATGATTATTCGTTGTTGTTTATATATTTATTTAATACGTATTTCTTTCTATAAAAAAAATTCTTTAATAGTTGAATTATTCTTTTTTCTTTATTCGTTTATGTGACGGTTAGAATTGCAGCGTACGAACAAAGTAGCTCACATTATGACTTTCTAAAATGGAATTTGTGCTTGATTATTGTTTTATTTCAATATAATTGATGAATTCTATTCATTTTTAAATGTTTATTTGAAAATTTTAATTTTTTTATACAGGTTATTAACTGATTAAGTGTAACTTTGAAGGCGGGAAAAATTCCAATATGGACGCTATAGAGACGCAATAAAATTTGATATTTTGTGATCGCGCGCAATGCGATCGTTAGAGTTAATTTTTACTTCGTAATAGTGAATTATAATATTCTTTCATGAAAATAGAGTCAGTGTTTGTTCGCCGATTATAATTTAAACGAACGTGTTAATAGTTTTTTATTTATTATATATTTCTTTCTTTTTTAAATATTCGTTTCCATATATATTCGATTCAGTGTTTCGAAAAAAGAATAAAGCGATCATCCATCACGCGAAGAGGTTATTATCTTTATATTATTATATTTATCTTTATTAGAAATTTTTATTTATTATAATTTTTTTCAAATAATTAATACTGTATTTTTAATTATGACATTCTACGTTTTGTTATAGATATTTTACATTTTTTAATGACTACGCCAATATCGATGGCAACGTTCTTCGCATCTAATGGTGAGTCGCATGCATTTTTGTTCCTCTGGTCATTCAATCATGTTGTAGGATGAAAGATCCGAATCGACACGAATGACTAGTTGTATACGTAGATTTTTTGTACGAGCACAGTGACCGCGAGTATTATACTCGTGAATAGTAATATTTTGTATTTTTTCTGCATTTTATTTATTAGTTCAGGATAGGTCTTCTTGTGCATCGCGTTTTTGAATGTTAATTAATTTTGTAATAATAATACATTAATATAATATTTCTAAAATCATCATATTATTATCTTGAAAATTATTATTATAATTTATTCCTTTCGTTCAATAAATCTTATGTACAAGAAGACATTTCGCGATAGATAGATTTCAGAATCAAAGCAACGAATTTTAAATATTTTTGTATTTTTGTATTCGAATATATGCTTTGATTAAGGGATCGTCTAAGGATATTTTTATTAATATTTAATTTATACATCAGTTATTTTATTTTATTTATCGTTAAAAAATTTATATTCTTTTTTATAAAAATTTTCATTATTTAATATTAAATAATTAAAGAATATTAGATCGTTAGATACAAAATAGATGCATTAATATTT